TGCTGGTGCATCAGGCCAGGGCTGGATTGGAAGTTGAGCAGCCGGGACTTAAATGGGTGCCCATTGCTGGCACTGCAGGTGATGGGCTTTATCCACTATGCCACAGCACCAGACCTGTTTTGATTTTCTGAAACTTGTACTTTGCCTGATAGAACCATTGTTGTAGAATCAACATATTAGTGTTTAGCAAGGTTTTTTTAAAATTAAAAGTTATATTCTGGCTGGCACCACGGCTCAATAGGCTAATCCTCCGCCTGCGGCGCCGGCACACCAGGTTCTAGTCCCGGTCAGGGCGCTGGATTCTGTCCCGGTTGCCCCTCTTCCAGGCCAGCTCTCTGTTGTGGCCCAGGAGTGCAGTGGAGGATGGCCCAGGTCCTTGGGCCCTGCACCCCATGGGAGACCAGGAGAAGCACCTGGCTCCTGGCTTCAGATCGGCGCAGTGCGCCAGCCACAGCAGCCATTGGAGGGTGAACCAATGCCAGAGGAAGACCTTTCTCTCTGTCTCTCTCTCTCACTGTCCACTCTGCCTGTCAAAAAAAAAAAAGTTATATTCTTTATTTTGAGTAGTTCCTCATTTATTTTTCTGGCGAATCTCTGATAAATAACAGATAGCTGGACTTTATTTTTTTCACAAATATGATATCTCTGATTTTTAGTAGGTCTAATAAAACTGCTCACATTTATTGTAAGTATGGATCAGTTTTCATTAGTTTTTTTTTCTATTTAACAAGATTTTTTTCATGCTTTCTTGCCTTGTGTTGATTAATTTGTGTTTGGAACATTTCCCCCTCTGCTCTGATGGGTATATATTTGTCTGTTCTTTTATCTTTAGCCTCTGTGCATTTTGGGGTCACATACAGAGACTTACACTTTGTTTTTAAATTCTGGAATATCAATTTCCTGTGCTTTTCAATAAGAAAAGATATTAGCATGCGTTTATTCTCTTTCCCACTGTCCTTCATCCTCCCCTAACACACTCTCAAGTTCACATCTTTTGGAATTTTATTTCCAGGTTCTTTACTTAATACACATATACATAAATACCGCCTTTAACTTAGCAATACTTTAAAAATGATTACTTTGTTCACAGTGTTTCTTGTTAACTACTTCCTGCCCAATCTAGTTTTCTTCTTACTGAAACACATCCTTTAGTCATTCTTTCAGAGAAGGTAGGTATATTTTATGAGGTTTTGGTTTTCATGGAAAATGTGTATTATGAAAAACTTACACATAGCTTTCAAATTTTTTGCAACCAAATAAACTTAGAATTTAACTAAAATTTTCCAAACTTTTGAAGTACCTGTATTTTTGGAAAATGCCCTTAATTGTGAAAGAAGCTCAGTGGTTGAATTTCTTTCACTGGCCTTAGGAAGATACCCCCCACCCTTCTTCCTCACCCTTCCTAATAAAGACATACTTACTGGCAGTTGTAAAACCTTAGATCTGTTGTTGCAGTACCCAAATCCTGTCTCGTGTCTCATGCAGCCTAAGTTCCTCAGACCTTCTGCAAACTGGAGCAGTGGACAAGTCTCAGGATAAGGCAGCACACTGCCCGATGATCGTCAGTCTAATGGAGAAATTCTTTACTCCATCAGCTCTCCAGCAGTGGAGCGCTCCGGAGCTGATCTCGGGGTGTGATGGTTTTGATAGACTTAAGCTAACAGCTTTTAGTTGGTTTTTCTTCTTCTGTTCATCCTCATTATTAAATAATAGTTTGGCTACATATTATTTTCCTGGAGAATTTTGAATATTTCCTGCCCAGTCTTATAACCCTGACATTGCCAATGACGTTTACTTTCTGCGTTGGTCAGATCTGCATTCTGGGGTTGGCAGCTTCCCCTGTAGCGTATGGCTGTGATTTCCTGTGGACTTTCATTTTCAGGGATCTGTATAATTTCTGGTCTCATAAAAATCCTTCCTCTTTTTCACAAATCCCAATATTCTTATTATTTTGAAACTTATTACTTTGAAAACATATCTTTTTCAAAAACCATTCCCAATGACTTTACATTAAAAAGGGAGACATCCACTAGTGTTTAAATTGAAATATGATACTCTTACTGTGGTTCATTTGGGTCCATATAAAACTAAATCCTTGGAGAGTGGCATTGAGTAATTTTTACTCCATACCTTTATTTATTTGACTTTCTGCTTATTAATTTCTTTTTGGTTCAAGATAATGGAGCACACACTATCTTGCTGAATGTCTTCCTTTCTCCCTTCCAATGCACCTGCCAGCTCCAGTGCCCTGCAAGTGTGCTTACCTGTGTGGGCAGCATCTTGGACTCCTAGTCCTGTTTTCCGGTTGGGTTTGTCCAATGGGAGTCACCATTCGGTCAGATGGCCAGAGGAGGGGGAGTTCAGGATGTTTGTTCCCTTCCTCCCTGCAGGCATACCCATCACTTTGTTTTGCTCTGCCCCCTGCTGAAGACAACAGCTATCAGTCAGCCCTATGCATACAGTGCTGCTGGGTCCTCCCTCATCTTGAGTCTTCTGGTCTAGAGGCAACAGTGGCTCCCAAGGGTGTGAGTGTTGCTAAGTATATTCCCTTGCTGGCTTCACCACACCCTGCCCACATCTTTGTAATAAATTCCTTTACGCAGCCCTCTTGGTATTACTCAGTTTCAGTATCATCTGTGTTTGTCCTGACCCAGACCATGCAAAAATGAAACCAAAACAAAGAAAAACAAAACAAAACAAAACAAAACAAAACAAAAACCTGAGCAGTATAGGGATAGTTAAATCCATAGCTGGGTCTTTCTGCTGTTTCATAACAGAATAAAATATTTAGGAACGAATATAGAAAACTTACTTTCGTTCAAGAAAATATGTCACTGAGGCAAGGACTAATAGGTGTTTTATGGGTACGGACTCAAAGGGGACGTTTCTTTCCTCTGCCGGGATCAGGCCGGTGCTTGGTTTCTGGGCCTGGAGGGAAGGCGGGCACATGGGGTCTCACCGATGCCACTCAGCAGGTGGCACCGAGGGATCTTGGGGTTGGCAGGGTCTGGGTGGCTGCAGTGTAGCCATGAATGCACAAAGCACTGCACCATTTCGGATGCAGTCCTAGCTTTTATTTGGGAGGAAAGTATTTCAAAAGCACCCCATACTGCTGCTACTTCCACGTGCCTATAATGCCATTTTAGCAGCTAAAACATGGGACTAATTCTCTAGTTGACAATCAGAGAAGAGCTAGCAGTGACAGCAGGTGCATGCATGGAGCACTGCTGTGTGGGGGAGATGGTGCTTACTGTGTGACACGCATCATTTCACTCCGCCCTCACCTGCCCTGCAAAGAGGGGAGACTGTGGCCATGCTGAGGTACTGATGAGGAAGATAAGGCAAAGAAAATGCAGGCAAATGCCAATCATTGCAAGGTCGCTGACTGCTGGGGCCAGGGTTCACACTGAGTAGCCTGACTGAAACACACACTCTTCGCAACATTGCTCCTCTTGTTACCACATCTGCAGACATAGATATGTGTAATAGGAAAATACTACTTTGTGTCTAACAGCAAACCACATTATGTTGTCCCGTGTCACTACATGCTCACAATTCTGAAAGATGGTATAATAATCTGTTATTTCAATACACCAGTCTGATAATCACTTTGTTAGATCTTCAATTGCTCTGCTACTTCTCCCTCAATAATTCCTTTCTAATCCTGACTCTTCTTGTATTATAATCTCTAACTCCAGCACTTCCTTAAACTTCATACTCCCATCTGTAAAATGAAAAAAAAAATAATAATAATAATTGCCTCATGGAGTAATTAAATATATATATAATTTTAGCTATTGTGATCATTATTTTTAAAAAAATATTTATTTAAAAGTCTTGGTTAGAAAGAGAGAGAGAGAGAGAGAGGAGATATTCTATCTGCTGGTTCAATTCCCAGATGGCTGCAATGGCCAGGGTCTCCCACATGGGTGGCAGGGTCCAAACACTTGGGTCACCATCCTTCACCTTTCCCAGGCCACTAGCAGTGTGCCAGAGCAAAAGTGGAGCAGGCAGGACATGATCTGGCACCCACATGGGATGCCAGCATCGCAGGTGGTGGATTTACCCACTACACCACAGTGCCAGTCCCATGATAATTATTTATTACAATTATTATTCTTTGTTAAATGTTGCTGTTTGGATCTCTACAGGACTGGCTTTCTCTCTTTTCTTTACCTTTATATAGCTTGCTAATATTTAAATGTATTATGCCATAAGGAAAATGAGTTGAAGCTTTTTTAAAAAAGCAAACTACTCAATTAAAGATAGAAAAGTTTAAATACACTTTAGCTCTCCTTTCCACCAACTAGTTTCATTGATCAACAGCAGTCACCAGTCCAGACTAAATTCATGGAGTTTTACTTCTCTGAATAGCCCTTGGCCTGAGTTACTTGTCAGTGTTGTGTACTTTCTGCAGTCCAAAAGCTATTCTAAGGAACTTATCAATCCTTCCGCTTGAGTAAATATACCTGAGCCTCCATTCATTGTACCCTGAGGCATGCACTTCGGCTGGACGGTGCCAAGGGTGTTATCACTGCATAGGAACTCCTCAGAGAGGCTGTCATTGAGTTCTTGTCTTCATTATGAGGGCGATGCCCAATCATCAGTCCCTCAACTTTCCGAAGTGTCAAGTCGACAACCTTTGTCAGAGTGCGGTTTGACACTAATGCACCTGAGCATTTAGACTTGGGCTCCAAACAGGGATGGAATGACAGGGAGCTCATGTGATATTTCACCCAACAAGGAAATAACCAGTGAAATGCGCCTATAAAATAATTTATTTTCCTATTTATAAAAGGAAATCATAGAGATATACACAGAACTTACTCTATGAATTCAGAAATCCATGTATTTTCTCCATGAATGAGGTCATATATCATACAGGTTGGCAAAGAAAGTATGTATGTGAAAGATAGATTGCATTTTAGCCAAATCAGCTTTGAACATATTTCATCCACTGAAAGAAAGCCCACTGATTTAACACAGGTGTTAATGAAAGAATAGGACAATATTTTCAAGATATTTTTTTCTTTTATTTAAAATGTTAGCTATCACAACACATCATACAGTGAAATGGAGACCCTGGGATCACATGAAAACTTGTAAAACATCTCTATGGAACCACAAACCGTGAAACATGCTGCAGGGGTACAAACACAGTTTGACACCAAGACTCAGTACATTTCAGCCCTGAGACACACAGGGCAAGTGTGTGACTGCACGAGAGCCCCCGCCCTTTCCAGATGTGACCGCTTCGAAGCCACGCTTTCTTCCGGCGATGACATTTTAACACGATTTTACCATTTCATTGAACACTGTGCTTTGTTGAGAGGTTTGCACTGATTTCTACCTCTGAGGGCATCTTCATATTAGAATTACAACATGTTTACAACACATTTTGGCACAATAGGAAAAATAAACACTTTTCTTTAACGTTTTCAACTAAAACAACAAGTTATTAAATAAATAATCATTCCTCATAGTGCACGTCACATTTTACCTTTCACTGCCCATTGACATAAATGAAGCGGCATGAATAATACTGTAGGCAGTTTATTTACGTCTTCTCTCGTAATTCTGCATGGCGCTCCGTTCATAAGCCACTGGAAACAAAGGAGGTAAAGTGTTCTTTAAGAGAATTCACCGAGGGAGTTAAAGCTCAAGACATCACAGTAATTGATTTTAAGCTCGTAAAGATTTCTCTCTCCAAGGAAGTTTTTCTGAGGATGTTATTTGCACATTTCCACACTTCTTATCATTCTTATCCCGACTAGAAGTTATCTAGCTGCAGAATTCTGGTTTTTTTTTTTTTTTTTTTTTGTCAACCATCATCCTAAAAGCTTATTTCCACGATACATTGCAACATCAATTCTCAGCAGTTTTGTCAAGCAGGGTCAGATACTACGGGGAATTCACAGCAGAGATGATGTCTACAGTAACCAGGAATAGTAGTAGGATAAAAACAAAACTTATTCTAGGATGTGATCCATAAGCCACAGGCCACACACCGAATCTGGCCCACCATCTGTTCTTGTACATAAAGTTTTATTGGAGCACACACCCATTGTCTAGGGCTGCGCTCTTGAAAATGGCAGCTTTGAGTCTGTTGCAGAGACGACACAATTCACAGAGCCTGAAATATTTATGATCTGCTTCTTTTCAGAAAATGTTTGCTGATCTCTGTTCTAGGAGCCCTTAATGGCGTCTCTCTCTCTCTCTCTCTCTCTCTCTCTCTCTCTCTGTGTGTGTGTGTGTGTCTGTTTCTGTTATGAATTCTTCACTGTGATGTATGATCCTAGAGACTAAAAACAACCTAATTTGCTGGCGGGAGGTCAATTGAGCCTTCTGGATACAACACAGTTTAACTCATCTCCAGGGCACCCTAATGGTCCGTGGAAGATTAAAGGATCTCTTACCACAAAAGGGTACAGATAAGGCTGTTGTGGTCAAAATACCTGAGGATTTTTTTTTTTTTATCACTTTAGCCAGTGCTTTACACACTAGATTTACCTTACAGACAAACAAGTGCTTTCTGAAATTGTTTGACTACCAACAGCCCTAGGCATCCCAGACCCTCCTCTAAACATTCTCCCAGGTGAGGATTTGTAGGGTGAGTCGGTGGTCCCCAGTGGTAACCGGAGCCAGCCATGCCTTCCGAAAGGTGAGCAACCATGAAGCAGAAATGTTTCACATCGACTATGTCTGCAGCTCCGAGGTGGAACAGTGTGAGCCCCTGCCTGCAGAGTTTGGAGGGAGGCAAAGTGTTCACTTCTCATTCTGCCTTGTTTATCTGAGGAGGAGGAGGACGGGCCCAGGTTTGGTACCTGACAAGCCTCAGGAGCCATGACTGTTTTCAGAGAAGTGACAGGGACGCTCCTTTAAGGCAATGGAAGACAGCTCTGCGAGTGGGCTGGAGCTTAGTCCCGCTCCAGGGATGCAGCATTTCCTACCTGGTCCCAGAACTCGCTGAAACCCTGTGGGAACTTTGCGGGCAGCAGCTCGTGAGGGTTTCTCTGGGGGGGGCTCCTGGATTTCCCAGATCCTCAGTGGGTCTGTGCCCACCCAAGCGTAAGGGTCAGGTGGCTGTGGGACAGACTAGAGCAGTCTTGCCCTTACTGAGCACCTGCGAGGATTCCTGTGGGACCAGTGACTGCGTGTCTGCCCAAGTTTTTCCTTTTATATTTAACTAAGCTGGAAGGACAAAGATTTCATTATAAATTGATCTTGAGTCATTTTAGTGATTCTATTTATTATTATCTATAATATACTTATTCAAATGCACTTAGTGTGTTTTAAATTGCATGATACCTGCATTTTGTGCCAAGTTAAACATACTAAAAATCTGTATCAATTCTGGCATGGAGAGTTAATGACTAATGTGATTATCCAGGAAAACACGGTTATGTGAGGACTAGTATGCATTGATTCAAAAAACTCACTGTGTTTTACATTTGTATTCCATTTTCAAAAGCTGGACGATAATACCTATTAATAAAATGATTACAAGGTTTCCCTAAGGCACACTGATAACTTCTTTAAATTCAACAAGGAGCCCTAAAACAACCTGTGAGTATAAAAGTCGTGTCTAAATTTAGAAAGTGGTGACTCAATAAAAATATTAGGATAATTATTTTTGCATGAATTCAGAAAGTTAACAACTAAGCTGGCATTTTTTAGTTACAGATTTTCTAGAAATTAGCAACATTCTAAGTGGGTATTACAATTGCTGACTTCTTCCTAATTAATCAGATGTTTGGTATTTTATAGAAAAATAAAGAAAGTTTGACTAGCTTTTCAACGGAACCTAAGCTAGGAGTTACAAAGCCTGAAATGCTTAATAGGTCAGCTACTAAGAAAATTAGAGAAGAAAGAAATATTCAGCCTTTTTATCAACTGACAGAGTTGTTCAAAGTTAAAATTGGTTTGGAGAATTGTGGCAGCCTTCTCTCTGTGGGTTTTAATAAGCTTTACTGATCTGCGACACTCTAGGCTCCTCTTAGAAGGTTCTGGAGTGGGCCCTGTCCCTCTCATCCTCTCCAGCACCCATCAGGACTGTTATATTCTGAGCATCTGTAGCTTCATAAAGAGCAAATGGTTTGTAGACAAGGTTTGTTTTGTTTTGCTTGCTTTGGAAAAGCTGTGGCGTCTTGTGTAGCGCTCAGATTACATTGGTAATAAGTGAAAATCATTCTCATCGCGCTATGCACTGCCTTCCCCTCTTAGCTCTGTAAGGTGAACTACGAGTTACTTAACAGATCAGTGGGGAGGAATATTAGAGCAGCTCAAAAATTCAGGCTGGATAATGGTCATGCGGGGCAGACTCGGGAAAGGCTGGTGGTGTGGGAGAAACAGGCTGATACTGCGGCGATATCAGCTTCAACACCTGTAAATCCTTCTCACAGCACTAAGACTTCTTTTCACATAAGTACTCATTTTTACCTCTTGTCATTCTCATTTTTTCATACTTTGAAAATTGTCTAATAAAAATAATAAAAGTAAATTTGAGACACTGTCTATTTTCAGGTAGGATTTCATACATACCAGAATTTAAAGCTCTTTTGCCCATTAGTCCAACAAAGGAATCTGTTTTATGCCCTGGAAAAATACATGTAGGGGTATTTTAATATGTATGTCTTTGAGGAAATATATCACTAAAACTAGCAAAAAAAATAAAAAAGCACCTAAGTATATTAGCCTACATAATAAATACATCTATTTCAAATTTTAGTGAGCCTAAAGCAATGAAAATTCCTTGTAAATCTTACAAATTACCCTAAGGCAACACCATGAAAGAATTTTTCTCAATTCTGTATCTAAAATTAGCAAGTACTCTTTATTCATGTGATATTTGATCTATCATTTGCAATACTGATAGAATCTGAGCTAGCTCTGACTTTCAGGGAGTCAGTTTCAGGTTTGTATGGGAGACAGATAACTAAGCTTGTTTCCTCGTGAGACTAAATGTATTATTTCTCAGAAAGCGAGTCTTAGTTAAGTCAGATTCGAGCCCTTGATGATTAACTATCTCTATTTTATTAGATCTTTAAAAATAGTCTATTCTTGTTGGAAGAGTGAATTTGTTTTGACTTTAATAGAGTACATTTATTTCTCTCACATAGAACTTCATTATATATAATTCTCTTGATAGACAAGTCCTTAGAAAGTAAATATGTATAGCATTTATTTATTTTCAAAGATAAAAATCTTTGGAAAAGATTTATTATTTTAATTCTAGTGGGAGAATTTCTCTTGATTTTTGCAGTATCCTTGGGACTAGGGCTGTTAGTTTAATGCGATCTACTTTGCCATCCAGGCAGCCCAATTTAAGACAAGGCACATAGATGTACTGTGTGATTAACGCGGACCCTGGGACTTCCTGTCAATTTGGCTCCAGTCACCGGGATACTAGAATCTAAGGACCCTCAAGTGCATAACTCTGACATTTTCTCCACCCCAACAAATGCTCCCTGTGTGTTGGCTGGCGAAAGCTTCCCGCTGCATTATGGAACCAAAGATCTTCATGTCCATCATTATCTTTACATGGATTCTACTTAGCTATTCACTCCCTCACTCACTCAATTGCCTGCTGGATGACCTCAAAACATGATCTTCTAGGAGACCCAGCATATTAAGGTGAGTGAGAAGGAGCCCATAAATACTTGGATTTGGGTACTAGGGGAGGCTGGAGAGGACTGTGTGAGGTGGGTCACAATCCTGTGATTTGACTTCTTACCAAAAACTAACAATTTACAGGGGCTAAAGGACAGCTTCCTTTCCTTTTTAAAACATCAAGTATCTTTTTGGTAAGAGCCATATTTTTAAGAAACAGAGCTTGACGCAATCATATTCTATATAATAGGAGTCTCATCCACTCTTATATAGTCTCCATTGACATATTAAGTCTATGTTAAGACTGAAATTAAGGTCAGCTATTGCATAAAGTGGTATTCAGTCTTGTTAACATTTGCACTTGAGAAATGCCAAAATAATCTTGAACTTACTTTTGTGAGAAATCTGGCCGTGTCCTGGCAGGAAGAAAGGTAACAGTTAACCAACACGTGCAAGATCTGTGCAGAGCTCTATCACATCTCTTAAAGAGGCTGCTAAAATACATCGATTTTCAAAATATGCAACATATTCCACTCCTGTCCCACCCTGAGAAATATAGCGGGACCATAAAGGCTAACCAGATTATTCATAATAAAAAGCAAACTAGTTTACAGCCCAAAGAACCATCACCGAGGGCTTTCTCTAGACCAAGGCTTCACACCCAAGATGCTGGGACACCTGAGGTCTGGCATTAACTGTCAAGCTGTGCCACCTCTCATCTTCAAGGCCTGACACCCCACCCGTGTGCGAGAGAGAGAGAGAGAGAGAGAGAGAGACAGACAGACCCATCTCTTTACCAAACAGCATAACCAGGATACTGCGTTCAAGCCCTACAAGATTTCCTTCACTTTTCTAATGAGAATTCACGATAGTCAAAGATTGATAGAGTGTTTACCATAAAGAGCCTTTAACAGGGCCACTTGTTTTTCAATTGAGGAATCTGACAAGAGAGGAGTTGGCATTAACTATTTACGTCCCACTGATGTCGCCATCAACCCAGGGAAACTGTGTTTCCATCTGGAGCCTCGGCACAGCCAGGTCTCGCCTAACCCGGGGGGGGGGGGGGTGGTCAGCTTCCACGTGCACCACGACCCTGCGGACGCCTCCCCAAGAACGCCCCCGCCCGCCCCTCCCTTGCTAATTGGTATCCTTAGTAAGGGGCGCGCTGAGCTAAGGCTGGGTCCTGGATTTGGCGGTTTTGTGCACTCGAATGCCGGCGAAGCCCTCCCTCTGCAGGCAAGTGCGCACAGCGCCTTAGAGAGGTCCCGAGTCCCACCGCTCTTAGGATGGACTTATCTACTCATGGAGCAAGACACGAGCGAGCAGGCAGGGAGGGTTGCCCATCTCACCAGCATCCCGTTTGCCCATTAATCCAAAGAACTGCTGAGGCTTGGGTCTCCGGGCGATTCTCTGCAGCAGGTGCTCGAAGGGCTCGGGCAGCTCCTCCTGGAAGACAGACGCGCGGACACACGGGCGTGTGGGCCACGGAGCCAGGTGCGGGGTGGCCCGTGCCATTCCCAAAGCGCGCCCCAGCCCTGGGCGAGCCCCAGCGAGCCAAGGCCCGGGCGGGGAAGCCAGCTCTGCCCAGGGGGGAGGGGGGTCTGCCCCACGTCGGGCGCGGTCTGCCACTCCCGCACCACTCCAGCCCCGCGCCGTGTCCTCAGGCCCGGAGCCCTGCTCTCCCCTCTGCTTCCACGGACCCTGCTCATCTGCAGAGCCGCCCTCCCCCGAGCCCCTCCAGCCCTCCGCCGTGACTTTGTCTCTCCCTGGTGCGGGCTCCAGCGACCTCTTGCTGCCCCGAACACACACAGGTGTGTGTGTGTTTGCAGGGGTGGGGGGAGGGGGTGCTTTCCCCGCAACCCGCACCGCAGGCTCCCTGGCGCCAACACCTACGAGAGCCATCTAAAGCGAAACTCGCAGGTCCGCAAAATGAACTCGCAACGACCAGTGAGCCCCCGCTGAGCGCTCCTGTCCCCGGGGACCCCGTGTGTTTCCCAGCGCGCGGACAGGGCGGGAGACTGAACCTGCGCGAGCAGCGTCGCTCCGGGATGAAACCTTGCGAGGTTTCCAGCCTTCTGGCAACCCGGGGCTCGTAGGGGCGGACTGGACTCTCTCGGAGAGATCCCAGACCCTGCGCTGCAGCCCCAGGGAGAAAAGTTGGGTCCTGGGTGCAGAACCAGGGCGGGAGCGAGGGGGCGGGGTGGGGTAGGGTGGTGGAGCCGCTTCCAGCACTGCGCGCCCGCACTGCTGTGGCCGCGGCCGGGCAGACCCGCAGACTTCGCGGGGTCCCAGCCCCGGAGGAGCGGCGCGGGCTGTTCCCGGACCCGGGCTCACCTTGATCTGGTCGCTGTCGGACCAGTCGGACCAATAATTTAGATCATCGTTGGCTCGGATGTCTTCCGCAGACAGTTGGGTGGAGACGAGAGCCAGGACTGCCAGGGCCACGAGGATTTTCATGTTGGCTTTCTGGGGGGCAGTGGGAGAGAAGGGGACGGGAGGTGGGGTGGAGGAGCCCGTTGATCGGAGCGGCTGTCAGCGAGTTGGGGCAGCGGCATTTTCGGCCCCCAGACGGCACCCGGGATGAGTTGAACCAGGATGAGAAGCGCGCCTGGGTCCCGGGCCTCTGCTCCCCAAATCCCAGCAGTCCCAGGCTCCCCCAGCCCCCAACCACCAAATCGCACTTCCCTTCCCGCGGGACAAAGAAGAGGGTCAGTCTCCCACCCCGGCCACGCGGGATGGCTGCGCTGTGGCCCAGCGCGGGCACTTACGGCGACGGCAGGCCCGCGGGTCCCTGGGCTGCTCGGAGCGCACGCCGCGCGGTGCGGGAGGAGGTGAGCGCGCGCTGTGGCCCGCTCGGAGCCGCGCGGTTTTTATCCCCGGCTCGCGGAGCCTCCGGACCCACGTGACCCGCCCCCCCTCCCCACGACTTTCTGCTCAATATTTAATTAGCCGCCTCTTCCTTCTCTGCCGGCGTGATTGAGAGTTTCCGAGACGGCAACCCGTCGGTGCCCATCACATCTGGACCCCACTGGGCCCGCAGTGACGCAGTGTTAGGCAAGTCGAGGCTTCCGCATCCGTCTGCGGAGCTGACGCCCCCTCCCCTCGCCTTGACACCTGAGATTACTCATCAACCTCCAGCAAAGTGACTCACTCCTTGGACTGGGCCGACTTTGGAGAAGCGATAGTTTTGAAGCCAGCCGACCGGGTACCTGCGGGCAGCAGGACCGGGTCGAGGGCCAGCGGGCCACGGAGGGGGCGCTTCCGTGGGCCTTCCCGCCTTCACCTCTCCTAAATCCCCGGCAGCACTCACACTTCCCCAGCGTTGAGAAAGGGGTGTCTCAGGCTCATAGCGCTTCCGGGGAGGGAAGAGGATTTATTATACGCTTTAGGGAAACTGCACCCAGAGGCGTCCCGAGGTGGCTCCTGTCCCCCAAATCCTCCTCGCCCTGCACAGGAGGGCGTTTTTGCTTCTCTCCCACCCTGTCTTGCACGTGCCCGGCACTCTTAGCTGGTGTCACCCAAGGCATCCGCGGGGACTTCGCCTGTGCATCAAAGTCGGTGCAGTGAGCACGCAGACCGGCAGCCGTGCAGTCGTCCACAGCACAGAATTGTTAGGAAACTAAGGTCAGCGCCTGCTGGAGATCACAGCTTCCCAGGAGTGCACGCTTGCCTTGAAGACACATTTCCTTTACCTGAAGAGCAGAATTACAGGTGTGTGTGCGTGTGTGTGTGTTGGGGGGAGATAGAGAAAAAGTCCTGTGGGCTGGTTCACTCCCCAGATGGCCTCTACGTTCCGGCCTGGGCTAGGCCAGAAGCCGGGAGCCAGGAGCTCCATCTGGGTCTCCCATGTGGGTGCAGGGGCCCAAGCACTTTGGCCGTCTTCTGCCGTCTTCCCTGGGAGCTGGATTGGAAGTGGAGCTGCTGGGGCTTGGACCTGGGCTCCATTATGGGATCTGACGTTGCAAGCAGCCGCTTAGCCCCACTGGGCCACAATGCTGCTGGAGACTCGTTTCTCACATCTTTATCAAAACTGAATGACATTGTATTTTGGGTGGAATAGTTTTCTCTTTTATACTTAGTATTAAAAACTTCAGGCAATTATAATTTTAAGTACAATGCACGATGGAAATAAGTTTTCGGAACTTAAGTATACCAGTAATACTTTTCCTCCAATATTTGTTCTTAAATGACAGTGAATTTTGAAATTTTCATGTGTCTCTCAAATTTTTTTGACCTAGCCTCACAGTGTGAGCATTTCCTGTTTTAGTTTTCAAAACGTTTTAAATGGCAAATTATAAACATACAAAAGTAGAACAAATCATCGATTTGAAGCAATTTACTTGTTCAAATACAGTACTTCCTATTTCTCCTCCACTCAGATTATTTTGAAGCAAATCCCGGACATCTCATCATTTCATCTGCAAACATTTTAGTGTATCTATCTAAAAGGTAAGGATTCTAAAAATAAAAAGATGAGGACAGCGTTGTGGCATAGCTGTTAAAGCTGCCGCCTGCAGTGCCGGCATCCCATATGGGGAGCTGGTTCAAGAGCCAGCTTCTCCACTTCTGATCCAGCTCTCTGCTATGGCCTGGGAGAGCATTGGAAGATGGCCCAAGTCCTTGGGCCCTTGCACCCGCATGGGAGACCCAGAAGAAGCTCCTGGCTCCTGGCTCAGCTCCAGCCATTGTGGCCATTTGGGGAGTGAACCAGTGGATGGAAGACCCTTCTCCCTCTCTCTGCCTCTGCCTCTCTGTAACTCTGCCTTTCAAATAAACAAACACAAATTTTAAAAAAAATATATAATCATATAAGAGTGGGAATAAGAGAGGGAGGAGATGTACAATTTGGGACATGTTCAAGTTGACTTGCCCCAAAATGGTAGAGTTAGAAATGTGCCAGGGGATTCCAATTCAATCCCATCAAGGTGGCATGTACCAATGCCATCTCACTAGTCAAAGTGAGCAGTTTCAGTTCACAATTGATCATAATGATAGGATTAAGAGTCAAAGGGGTCACATAAACAAGACTAGTGTCTGCTGATACTAACTGATAGAATTAAAAAGGAGAGAATAATCCAACATGGGAAGTGGGATACACAGCAGACTCATAGAATGGCAGATGTCCTAAATAGCACTCTGGCCTCAGAATCAGCCCTTAAAGCATTTGGATCTGACTAAAAAGCCCATGAGAGTATTTTAGGCATGGAAAGCCAAGACACACTGGCAAAAAAAAAAAAAAAACAAACAAACAAAAAAAAACTTAAATGAAAGAACTCCGCGAGTGAGATCCCAGTGGAAAGAACAGGCCATCAAAGAAGGAGGTACCTTTCTCTGAAGGGAGGAGTGAACCTCCACTTTGACTATGACCTTGTCTAAATAAGATCAAAGTCGGCAAACTCAAAAGGCTTCCATAGCCTTGGCAACTCATGACAAGAGCCTAGGGAGATTACTGATGCCATAAACAAGAGTGTCAATTTGTTAAGTCAACAACAGGAATCACTGTGCACTTACTCCTCATGTAGGATCTCTGTCCTTAATGTGTTGTTCAATGTGAATTAATGCTATAACTTGTACTCAAACAATATTTTACACTTTGTGTGTCTGTGTGGGTGAAGTCTGTTGAAATCTTTACTTAATATATACTAAATCAGTCTTCTGTATATAAAGATAATTGAAAATGAATCTTGATGTGAACGGAAGGGGAGAAGGAGTGGGAGTTGGGAGGGTTGCAGGTGGGAGGGAAGTTATGGGGGGGGAGCCATTATAATCCATAAGCTGTACTTTGGAAATTTATATTTGCTAAATAAAAGTTAAGAAAACATATGATTATTTGATCAAAAAGCAAAGTAATTTCTATGATATTAAATAATCAGTCAAGGGTCAGATATTCCTCATTGTCTCATACGTCCTAACTGCCCCATACAATTTCACAGTTAGAACCAGGACGGCAGTGATGTCTGTTTGCACTTACCTGTCTTGTCTCAGTTCAGGCTGCTAGAACCAAGTATCCTAGACTTGGTGATTTACAGCAATGGAAAATTATTTCTATAAAGGCTGTGAGTCTGATGTATACCCCAGGTCTGTTTAGAGAATTTTTTTAAGGATCATTGTGACCTCAAAAGTTAAAACACATTTGAAATATTTCATTTTTAAATTGATGTTCAATTATATATCATTCTTCTAAGGGGCAGGCACTTGATGCCCATTTCATATTGGAGTGCCTGGGATGGAGTCCCAGTTCTGCTTTCTAGTCCAGCTTTCTTTTGATACTCACCATGGAGGCAGTAGAAGGTGGCTGAAGTACTGGGGTCCCTGCCACCCACATGGGAGACCTGGGTTGAGTTCTGGCTTCTGGCTTTGTACTGGCCCAGCACTGACTTTACTGGCATTTGGGGAGTGAACCAGTAGATGGAAGTTTTCTCTCTGTCTCTTTCAAATAAAATTGAAAACAAATGAGTGTTTTGAAAAAGTATACACTTTAAATATATATTTTGCTCTAAATATGTTTTGTTTTAAAATACTTAATTGATATTTTATATATTTATGAATATATATAATTTTATATATTGAATATATATATAATTCTTGGCCAACAGGTGATTGTTCACTTGAAACTTTTGATGTGCCTTTTTTTAAAAAAAATTCTTTTAAAAGATTTATTTATTTATTTGAAAGGCAGAGTGACAGAGAGACAGAGGCAGAGGCAGAGGCAGAGCCCTTCCATCTGCTGGTTCACTTCCCAAACATCTGCATTGGCTGGAGCTGGCCCAATCCAAAGCCAAGAGCCAGGAGCTTCCTCTGGGTCTCCTATGTAGGTGCAGGGGCCCAAGAACTTGGACCATCTTCCACTGCCTTCCCAGGGCACATTAGAGAGCTGAATCAGAAGTGGAGCAGCCAGCACTCGAACTGGTGCCCATAAAGTATGCTGGCACTGCAGGTGATGGCTTTACCCACTATGTCACAGCTCTGGCCCCTTGATATGCCTTTAATTGGCTTTGATAGCTGCCTTGTTTGTGGTATGTAAAGTGTTTCAGGTCTAAGTTGTGTATTTCCTGCCCCAGGCCTGGAATTGCCTTTAAGGTGCCCTTGTCTCCTTTCAGTTAGAAATGGTAGTTAGAGATCATAACCTTAGCATTATAGGTGCACAGTGCTATTATGTTCTTTGTGGCCTGAAGACATTTTCAGGTGCTGGAATTGTGCAGAGAGTTAATCTGCCACCTGTGACACTGACTGCTCATGTGGGTGCCGGTTCACCTCCTGGTTGCTCCACTTCTGATCCAGCTCCCTGCTAATGGTCTGGGAAAGCAGTAGAAGATGGGCCAAGTGTTTGGTCCCCTGACACCCACATGGGAGACCTGGATGAAGCTCCTGGATGTGGCCATTGTGGCCATTTGGGGAGTGAACCACTGGATGGAAGATCTCTCTGTAACTGTGACTTTCAAATAGATAAATAAATAAATAAATCTTTTTTTTAAATACCTGTTCAACGCAGAGAACTAAGACAGGTGTGTGTGTTTGTTTTTATTTTTAGAAGATTTATTTATTTATTTGAAAGGCAGAGTTACAGAAAGTGAAAGAGAGAGAGAGAGAGAGGGAGACAGGCAGACAGAGAGAGAAGGAGAGAAAGAGAGAGAGAGAGGTGTCTTCCATCCACTGGTTCACTCCCCAGATGGCTGCAATGGCCAGAGCTGTGCTGATCCGAAGCCAGGAGCCAAGAGCTTCTTCCGGGTCTCCCACGTGGGTACAGGGACCCAAGGACTTGGGCCATCTTCTGCTGCTTTCCCAGGCCACAGCAGAGAGCTGAATTGGAAGAGTAGCAGCTGGGAATAGAACTGGAGCCCATATGGGATGTCGGTGCTTCAGGCCAGGGCTTTAATCTACTGCACCACAGTACCAGCCCTTTAATGTTTCTAATTTTATTCAGATGCCATAGC